CTTCCACACCTTAAGGTTCCCTCTGATTCCAAGGGTTACACACACACACACCTCTGCTGGTCTTTGTAAGAGCTTGCTGAGTCTGTGTGTAAATTGAGGGTTGGCTGACAACAAGACCGGGTCAAACGCACTTGACAAATCTTCCATGATGGTTGAGGACTGTGAGGATGCTGCAGCACTTCAGTGGTGGGTTTGCAGCTCAACGAATGACTTGCGCTGAATTCTGAAGGGATGAAAGACTGGAGTCGTGATGAGAGGCTGAGAAGGAAGCAATGTTGTTGAAATTCCTTTGCTAAAATTCCTCTCACACATGAGGCATGTATAGATGCTGTAGCAAGGACCTTCTCAAGCGAGTAGAGAAAGGGTCAAGCTTAAACTTTAAACGGCGCACAGGGTTAGACCTGTGGTAGGGCTTGATCCTGTGAAACTACAGGTTATCAGCCGTAGGCTGAGAGCTATGGATAGAAATGGTTCTGCGGGAGATGACGCAATACCCAATTCATATGGCAGTGGTTTTAACATTGCCCCTAGCAATCCCATTTACCAAGGGGTTTACATGAGACACCAACAGGCTTTGGTGGTGGAGGCCCAACAAATGTTAGCAACGTTACCACCACAGGTGGCGTCCCAAGCCCATATGGAAGTACTAGTTAGTGGAGGCACGTAGCAGGTGCGCCGCTAGCTGCCATGACTGGTATGCTGGACGAGGTCAACATGCGTTGGCCATGGCTAGAGTCAATGTCATGAGCCAAGTCAACCTATCCGCCCGCGATGGACAAAGTCATCAGAACGCCGCACCAGCTTACAGGCGAATTGCAGCAACACGTGTGGCACCTAGAGTCACAAGACAAATCTGCACAATACAAGGGCCCAAGAACACGGTGGCAGACCAAAAACACTCCTTTCAAGAAAGCCCTCAGGACGATACAGTCAGAACGCGAAAAACATCGAGGGAAAGATGAAGGGCTTGCGAAGGCGATGCAAGCAAGTGTAGTACTTCAATCTTCACTCGTGCAGGGGCGGGGCAGCAGGCGACAAGAGAGATGCACGCCCTGAGGAAAGGCCAAATAGTGACACAGCGCAAAGCCGTTCGATCTGTGGCCAAACCACTGGCAGGGTGCAGCGTCACCACCTGGTTTCAAATTCAACGGCTTCAACATCGGAGGCTACCGGCCATGACTGAAGTCATGAGAGATGCGCTTTAGTCGAAGGTTTTAAAGGGGTTAAGGGCGAAGGTCTGATACTCAAAGCTACATGAGACCCAAGGTTTCCTTGCTCAGATCGCTATCGTGCATGGAGCGAGGTCCTTGTCGGACGATCCAGATGCAACTTTTAAGCGTGGCTGTCAGAGGAAACAGGTCAGTCGAGATTAGCGGCTGAACCTGACATTCCCGTTCACTGGACACGAAACTCCTCGCCGCTCTCACGAAAGCAGCAAAGGGTGAACTTGCGCGACAGATCCTCTGCAAAGGGTCCGAATCTGAATCGCAGCAAGGTATACATATATATATATAGACTAGACTGACTGGTTGTATAAGGGTTAGACAACTTAAACTTACGCTCATGTTTGAAGCTCACTTCAAGGGCAGTGAAGGGGCGCTGTATATGGGACAGAGGGCCTGTTGAAGGCGCTGGTAGGTCTTACGAGTTGTGACAGGTGTGAATTAATACTGTTCGCCAATACCTTGATCGGGAAAGGCGAAGGGCCAACAGAGAGAAAATCTTTCAATCGTGCAATGCGAAATACGCAAATCCGCAGCGTGACAAAATTCTGACGCAGACGACCGACGTTACAAGTATGCCACCAAATCTGGTAAGTGTGATGCCAGTTTGCGTTACCGTTCCTCTATGGGGGCCTGCCACGCTCGCAAAGTATTTCTAGTGAGCCAACCTTCGTTGTTTTCAAGAGCCAACTGACCCAGGAGCTCACCCAAGTTTTCTTCATTGAGCAGCCCGCAAAGAAAGTTGGTCCCGGAGGGCCGGTTGCAGCGCGCGCGACAAGTCCAGAATCCGTGCAGACTTTGCGCCAAAGGCAACTAAGCGTGTGGTGGGTCACGGCGTAGTTCAAAAAAGGACTAGAAGGATTAGAAAAGCAAACAGAAAAGGAAGAATCTGTCCAAAGGCGGGCGCGTGTGTTCAGACAGACAGGTTTTGCGGGCTTCGCATCGTCTTGCGCTGCTGCAATGGTGCTTAAGGCTCAGAAGGTCAAAGATTTCTGAGAATAGGTATCATGTAAAGGCCAGACGCGACTTTTCTCTCGGCGCGTAAGCCCTGCCCTGTAGACTGTAGACTGTAGACCCACCGCAGATCACCGCTTCTTCACCGCGAAGGCGGTCAAGCCAGGTAGAAACAGCAAGAAACTGCAGGGTTCTTGGCCGAAACGCTTTGCGCGAAGCAAAACTTGAAGGGGCCGTCAGATTGGTATTCCTGGCGCTGTTGCAAGACAACTTTTTTGGAATCCAAACCAGAGGAGATACCTTTTCCGTTTGATGGACGTGTGCCAGCGAGTGGTGAATAAGAGCAAGAACAGGCGCCTGTTGAAAACTTGCAAACTCTCCATCGACGCTAGGCTTTAAGGGCGCAAGTGTTGGCGGCAGACTCACTTAGGCGCGTGAGTGTGTCCTGAGGAACCTGCGTGTGGATTCCTGGCACGACCGCAGGCAGAGGGGCCGGATGATTTGCGCGCCAGGATACCAAGCGTGGCCGGCGTGGAGAAATGTGGTCAGGCGATGCCGGGACTGATCAAGACACTTGCTAAAGGCAAACAGTCTTTAAGTCCTGCGCCGCCAGTCAGTTCCTGTGACGACAGCCAACGGACCAATCGCAGCAGCAGATGAAGTCGTCAACGTAGTCTTCCCACAATTGCGCGAATCATTTGACCTGTGCGACGTACTTCAGAGTACCCCGCAGCTCTGTCAATGGGATTGAAATGTTACTGTTGTGGGTTGGCTTGGGGCACCGACGCCGCGCCAATCCTCTTCACAACTCATGGTCAACGTGTGAAATTCAAAGTTCAGGGGGTGTGCCATAGTTGGCGAGACATCCACGCCGTCTCCCAGACTCAAGGCGCCCGCTCACTTAAAAACGCGCCGTGCAGTTGACAATTGACTACTAGGGATTGCCATCCCTGGCAAATAGTCGGCGCGAGAAGATGCTGCGGAGGCTGGTGTGATAGCGAGGAAAACCTTCGCCGGGAAGCCAAATCAGGGGCCACCAATGCACGCGTACTGGTAGCGCCCTATGGCTGGAGTGTGCGAGAGACGCACGCACTTCGACTGCATAGTTTGCGACCACGTCGTTCCGAAAGATGTTGAAGAGGGAACCGAGGGAATTGAGTATTGAGGGGCAAACTTCCACGTTGATAACGCAAGTCATTGATGCGCTTACCCGTTTGTGATTGTCGAGGGAAAGGTCTTTTGGAAGGAGCGCGGCCACCAGCGCTGTCAAACAAGCCAATGGGCGCTTTGTGGGGTACAGTGTTCAGGCTGGGCGTCTTTGGAGAGGAGAACGCTTGGCAGCGAATGTTGAAAGTCTTGATTGATATTTCTGAAAGCGGGGCAACTGAGTTCATGTCAAAGAGTTGATTGAACCAGAAGACGATGATCAACCGTCAGATGAGGACAACGGCGAAGGTCCACCAGATGGAACAAACAAAGGCCGCGCTAACAAGGTTGATGACCAAGGCCAACCGTCAGCGGCGCTGGAAGCGGGAGAAGAAAACCAAAGCCGCCGCGAGGAAGCACGGCTGCCAGGCGGCGTAGATGGTTTGCTGGAACCGTTCGAGAAAGCAGAAAAGAGAACAGACTGTAAGGAAGAACGTTCCTTCTCTGTTTGAGGCTTGAACTGTGCTTCGATCCGACCTGATGGGGCTCCTACTCTGAATAGATATGTCTATGAGTGGGTTCGACTAGTCAGGCAAAAGAGAGGCGCCAGCAGAAAGCCCGGATTCCCTCCTGACCTGTGGCAAAGCCTCTGCCGCACGCAAAGAAAACGCGCTTGGAACACCTACCAAGATCAACCTGAGAAAGAAAGGTAGCTGTTCCCGCTAACCTCATTGCAGCGACGCGCGGCAATTGGTGGAAGAGCTCCCGGACAAGGCTAACGCTAGCTTATTTGCCTCCGTGGTTCAGCTGTTGATCAAACCGGTAGCAACAGTTCGCGCCAAGAAAGAAACGCGGCCAGGAAAGATGGTCAGAAGCCCTTTGACAAAGAATGGGATAAGCTTCTCAATAAAGGAATCTGGCTTGAGTCCACTGCTGCAAGCAGCTATTATGTCAAGGTCAGAGGGGACAATGAAAGAGTGAAAGAATGTAAGAGAGCTTTTGAGGAAACTACAAGGGAGAGAAAGCGCGCCTTTAACAAGGTCGTTGTGAAGGATCCAATGTTAAATACGTCTCACTTAGGGCCAGCGTGCGTCTCAGCGTGCCTGCAAGATACTCGTTGTCACAGTTAGGTTTGCTTTGTCTCCATGTCGGTTGTCACAGTTAGGTTTGCTTTGTCTCCATGTCGGTTGCTACGTTCTTTTTGTCCAAATGCGTGCGCGAAGTAGAACGGAGGAGTTTAATAACACCCATGGGGCAAGTATTGATGCTGTAGCAACGGCCTCTTCAAGCGAGTAAGGAAAAGGTCAAACTTAAACGGCGCAAAGGGTTAGACCTGCGGTAAGGGCTGATCCGACTCCTGTGAAGTCGAAGGAAGGAGGCAATAGGTGACCGCTTGTCGGTATTTTCAATGGTAGGTAGAACCAGTTGCCGATGCTTGTTTGCGTGCACTAACAATTGCAACATGTTTCCGTTTCTTTGTTTTGAATTTTGACAGCCTCCCAGGTACACTCCCTTCAGCGAAAGGCAGCAGTTGGGTGCTTTGCGGTCCTTGAATTGTGCAGGGACTGCCGGGGCACCTATGGCAAACCTGTTGCAACAATGACAAGGATAAAGTACAAACGCAGTTCGAACATGTCTTTTGGCAAAACATTTCCCTGCGCTCTTGCCAGGCATGTGTTTCGCAAATATACGTGTTGAGTGTTTTCCCCTTGTGTAACAGTTCGACTAGTGAATCACGCCTCGATTCACACCGCCGAATCACACCCTTCAGGAGATGTGCAAGAACAAGGTTTCATGGCAAATCCAACCCTCGAATCATAATGCCTATTCAATCTTCCCAGCCCGACTACGGGCCGACTACGGTAACAAATATTTGTAAAACATACAAACCCACTGTGTGGTTAAAGGAACAAATTTGCATCCGTTTTGTCGGTGCCGTGCGCATTGCGTTGCCGCCTTGGGACATAAATAAACCTACTTTTGAGATCCAGTTTGATCAGATTTTGATTAATCACAGGGTGTTTTTTAAATGTTTTTCATAGTGCAATAAATCGAGGCTGTGCTTGTTGATCCAATCTGAAGAAAAACTCTTTTCGCAACATGGTCTTGTTCGGAGTCAACTACGAGCTGCCTCGCTACAGCAATGTCAACTTATGCCAAAAGGTGACCACCTCTTCTGAGATGTTTTATTCCTATGGAGGGCACACAGATTGGTCGAACCAACGTCTGGCAGCTGGCAGGCGAAAACTTGACAGTCCCGCAAAGCCTTTTCGGTCCTGTTCATTTATCACTAGCTTGTCCGGATGGTTAGGAATCTCTTGGCTGAGCCATACTGGGCCATGCAACGCTTAGGCTTGGAACGGGGTGAACCTGACGCCTGCGCGCTGCAAGCAGTTTCTTCAGGAGCCACACGCAGTGTGAACCCCACCGGGCAACTGTCCGCTCATCCGAAAAGTAGAACCACGGGGCACAAAGTGGAAAAACTTCTTCGCACTCTCTCTCTCTCTCTCGCTTGTCACAAGTCATCATCAAAGGACTGAAGGCATTGAAGACCAAACAAAGCTTCCTGTCAGGATGTCATTCGCGCTAGCGAACAGCCAGATGCACAGGTAGGGGACCTGGTACTGGTGAGATGTTTACCTAAAACTGACTTGCTGGAAGCACAGGGTGTAGGATGGCAATTACATGAGGCAAAGATAGATGTCTCTCGTATCGCATTCGCAAGCAAAGTGTTTGAGTCTGCGCCCATTCCAATGACATCTCCACTTCCAAACAACCCAAGCTACTTGTCGGTTTGATGAGTGGTGACTCCAGTTGCGAGAGCAATCCTTGCTAGTTGCACAATTTGATAATTGAGCATTTGCTGTCTAATGGTCCATTCCATGTTTCGGACATAGTCCTTGGTTTCGTGCAGCTTGCGGGAAGGCAAAGCGAGGTGCGAGCGGGGGGAAGACGAAGACTGCGCCCTCACTTCTGGATTTTTGACGACAATGTTTCTAAAGGAAACAAGAAGGCGCAATGAATCAGCTCAATATTTTGACCTTTGACTTGTTGTGTTCTGCCGATTTTGTCAAATGCAGACAACTTGATGTCACATTGACATTAATGAGATGACTTGAAGGTAGACATGAATCCAGAAAAAGCGACACCAGCCAATTTGATTGGAACGTAACTTACTGTATATTGATCGCTTAAATTCTCCAACATTTCGATTCTGCCCGGGAAGTCCGACAGTGTGTAAACAAGAATGTCACAGAAGATCATGTCCTGGAGTGAGAAGAGATGATCTGAGGGAGATGATACAAGAATTTAAAAAGGGTGATGTGGATATCAATCAGTGAGCATGGCCCAATTATCAATGTGTGTCCTCAACGTACTTTGATTTATAGACCTGTGCCTGTAATGATCCATATAGTAGTGTTATTTGTCTACTATATAAATATGCTTTGCTTGCTTTTACTTCTTGGGGATTGCCTTTTCTCATTTCGTTGTCCTTGGAGGCAGTGATGCCGATGTTCCAGCCTGAGCTTGAGCTGGTGATCTCGAGAGTATATGGGATGTAAATGCAACTTGATGTGACTGCATGTGACTTGGACCAGCTCTATGCAATTGTTTTCGCTTGCCAAAGTATGCCCAGATCGTTTCAGTGCTGGTCAACGTCCTGCCCGAGTGCGCTTGGCAATTGTTCAGCTTCGATGGTCTCACTTGGATTGCGAGCAACTGATAGATGCTCTATATTTTGATATCATATCGATATTCAGCTCCATCCCAAAACTTATTAGGCTCCTTTGTTGCTACATCTCACTCATCTCACCTTGTTTGGTCTAACCGCGCCCGCCGCGCCCGCCTCATTCATCTCAGCTTTCCTTCCGTACAACTCTTCACCCACTCCGTCTCATCACATTTGAATGCCGCTCAGTGCCGCCTACGAAGTTGGCCCTGGAATTTGTGATGATGCTTTACACCCAAACTGCAACAACACTGCGGCAGTTTTTTGCAGTGGAGGTTGAACTTTCTTGGAGTGCGCAGCAGTGTTTGGGTTGGGCGGAAAGGGGGGCTGGTGGACCTTTCATTTTTCCCCAACTGACCCACCCACCCACCCTTGCATGAGCGGAAGTGTGATAGTAGTTATGTTTGGCCCAAGGGCCTGAGACAGATGTGGCGGCAGTCAGGCAGCTGCTTCCGGCCTGCTGTCCTGATTCATGCAGTGAAGGAAGCGCGCGCGTCACAGGAGCAGGGTATTGCTAGTAGGGTTGCAGTGTTGAATAGTTTTGAAGACGCTGGACTGAGCTGACTCATGCGCTTGATGGTCAGTGCTCTCGGCGCTGTTAGATTTGTTCGTGACCCGATGGCAGAATTGCATGTTTTGGTGCTCAAGAACACCTACTGTATATATGAAGACCACCATCTGTTGTAGTCAGAGGCATTGTGGATTGCGCTTGCTGCCTGCACTTTTCGGAAGGTCGTCATGTTCCGGGAGCGAGAGCAAACACTTTTCGGTTTCAACAATGTGTCGGTGTCATCTGTCACATGTGGTGTGTTTTGTTTTGGGCAGAGGGCGCGCTTTCTCGAACGAGCACTACGCGGTGGCTGATGTGCAGAAGGAGGTTCTTCTCCAAGGCTGCCCGCCCTTGCACGGTCTTCCCTGACGGTGCTATGTTCCACGAAGCGTGCTGAAGTATTGCGGCGCCCTTTTCAGAACGTTGCCATTGAGAAGACTGCAAGATGCAGTCTGCTCGCAGCTGCCGAGTGTGGAAGATGAAACAGATCAGTGGTGTCAAAAGATCTGGAGGCGACTGAAATAGATTGTTGTGGTTTTGCCTCTCAAGACAGGCCCCGCAGAGACCCAGAGTGAATAGACAGGTTTGACGTTGCGGGCATCTCAATGCTCCGCTTTCTCGAAACTCGGCGCAAGGGCAAAAGTAGAGCAAACGACACTAAAGGCCTGCCAGGAAACACCAGTCAACATTTTGAATGCGGACGGGGACTTGCTTTGACAAACGGACAAACCGTTTCATCGGAAAACTATTCATCCAGTGAAGTATTCACTATTCACGGGCTTGTGCCCATGTTCACGTCGTATTTCAATTGGCTGGGCTGGTCTGGCACGGTGCCTTGGTCAATAGTACGGCCGCAACGGGTCCGACGCGCGAAAGTAGGACTACAGAAACAATTCGACGTTGGCCAGGGTTTGCTTACAAGAAGTTCTAGCGCCGTGGACAGTAGCAAGTCAAGCGCGCGTCGCCGTCCGTCAAGCAAGTGAGCCGTCGGTGTGGGAGGGCGGGCCGCGCCGTTTCAAATTCTGCCATGAAAACCTTCTTGTGACGCCGACATATGTTTTCCATTCCCTCGAGGCTCGAGGCCTCAAAATCTCTTGGTTCAAGTGGCCCTTTCAACGATCAGCGAAAAACAACTACCACTTCAACGCTTTACCAAGTTGCCAACCCCTTTTGCAAGGATCATCGAAACTACACGTCAATCACGTCAAGACATCTGAACGGAGCTGATGTGATCTCACACATTCTCGCCTCATGTTTTCAATTCATTTCGAGTGTTCTGGGGTCCTTGCCCTTTTCACAATAGCCATGGCCAACTATGCACCATTTTATCTCATTGCATCCCACAAATCCACCACTTAAAAGAGTGTCATAAAGCCGGCGTGTTCCGACTGCATTGTGGGTGGGCGGTTGCTGTTTGCTTTCGTGACTGCCATGCTGGTTGTTTGAAGGTATGGCCTGGAACCTGGTTTGTCGGTGATGAAGGACGCTCTTGATGCCGTCAATCCTTCAAAATTTTGAAGCTGAACGAGATTTGTGGTTCCACAAAGTATTGCCAAGTCAAGCTCGTTGGTTGACGCGCTGCTTCAGCTGGTCCATGTTTCAAGCTCTTACTTTGTGTGCCTTTCAGGACACTCTTGTGTTGGCTCAGAAGAAGGTGGGGGTGCGGGGAATTTCATTACATCACACAGGTCATGCACATTTTTGCAAGCGTGAGAATTGGATTGTTTGTATGATTTTGTATGTCAGCCTGTTTGAGACCCAACAAACTGACAGTAAGACCATCTCGGAAATAACCACATGTGGAAACTCACTGTTGTGGCTTTTTCTGTTCCACTGGGATTGATCTGGGGGGGACGCCCACTCCACTTTTATCAACGTTTTTCTCTCCTAGATGTATATCCACCCCCACTGAAGGCTTTTTGTAGATCCAAAGAATGGATCGCACCCAATATACATATATATATATATTATATATATATGGTTTGTGATGTCACTTACATTCAAGCCCGGACTTGCGCAAAATGAGCATGTGACAAACGATGGTTAAACCATTTTCCCTCATGTCAATAGTTGCTCCAACTTTGGACACGTACTAGCAGTTCCGCAAAACAATTCTGCTGGATCTTCTACTGTGAGCCGTGTGAATCCCGCTACCAGCACAACGAAACTTTAAAGCGGTATTGTTTGGTCACGCAGATAGGTCACGATTGTTTGGCTAGGTGGCACAAGGATTATCGTTTGACCCGTTGAAAGAGGGTGTTTGAATTCGTCGATCCAAATTGTTGAGCGCAACCAACCGTCAACTTAATTGAGATTTTCGGTTGAATGCCACTTCCAAATGAAGGCACTCTTCTACAAACAGGACGTTCCAAGTTGATACAGGTTGAAGGGCTTCCTGGAATGGAACATTTGGTGGAGAAGATCAACAGCCTGTCACGCCCTTAGCAACAATCACTGTTGTCAGCTAGTTTCCATTTGTTTGCCAGCAGTTTGGGTTCATTTCAATTTGTTTTGCTTGAGAGATTGCTGTGTTTTGCTGACAAGCTTGCAAGGCAGAGTATGACCAAGACACAGGCAGGTAGACGGATGATCCGATGAGCTTGTGCACAAAATGACCAGAAGATCGAGTTCGTTTGTGCATCTATCAATCTGTTTTGGCCAGTAGTCGCAGCAGTTCTCATTTTGGTCTTTCGTGCACATACCGAGTGTAGCTAGTAGAAGATCGGAGACCTTGTGGGATTGCAGCTTAATGCTCCACCAGCTTCTTTTTTGGCTCAGCCGGGGGGGAGCGGAATGCAAGAAGAAGTGCCCTTCGCGCAAACGAGGACATTCAAGATTCAAGCCTGCGGCATGCGGTTCTTTGTGAGATTAGCTCTGAATTCTATGGCAATATTTTGTTTTTTTTCAAGAGTACAGCTTGTTGAAAGGACAGCGACATGACGGTTTTTACCTCTGTGATCGACCGCTCCAGCGACGAAAGGGCGCTACGCAAAATTGTGGAGCAGATTTCAAAGCAGCTTGGGCTATAGAAGCGAGTGTGGACAAATCAGTTGGAACTTTGTTGGACTGCTTTGTCAGTCAAGAAAAGCAAAAGCACAGCACACTGTTTGTAAACACTGAGTCTATTGCTTTGGTTTCAATTATATTGCAATGTTTGGCTAGCCCTCTTCTTTGCCAGCTTTGCCCTGATCATCTTGAGCAACTGACAAAATGCTAAATGCTCTTGTCCCATCTCTTGCTCCAAACGTAGGCTGCAGCCGGAGAAATCGCCGGGGCTCTTTCTGTGGGTGGTGGGCTCCTGCCATGGCATCAAGCAGTGGCAACAGGCAAGACCATGCAAAGACCTGCGGGATTCGGAGGTTTGCCTCGATTCGTTGTCTGGATTCGTTGTCGGTCAGTCTTCGGTGTTCGGGTCCAAGATTGAGATCTCGGTGTTCCGGGTGCTTCGTGATATTTTCCAAGCTTGGGATTCTGTCTGTGGCACGATAATCTGTTCAAGAAGATTGGCGTCTCAAAAACTATCATCCTCTGGCGTGGAGGGGTGGAGCCGAACTCCAGCTTCCTTCTCCAGCAGTGGTCTCACCTACAATGAACAACACCCAATAGGCCCATCTCTCAGAAAGGCTCCAAACGGCCCAAAAGTTAGCTGGTGATTCAATCTCTTGGCCGGCCCTCAGCAGCCGAAGTAGAAAGAGCTGCCACTGTGCCGCCTTGGGTGACGGAAGTAGTGATGCCCTTGTTACTAGTAGCTTCTTGCTCCTAGTAGTAAGGCCAGGAGCCCCAAGTAGCTTCCTTGCTCCTAGTAGCGATGCCCTTTGCTCCTAGTAGCGTCCTGTGCCACTGCTTTTGGTATGAGCGCTCTGGTGAAATGCGTGCTCTCGTAATGGGACGCACCATGTTCATGTTCCTTCTCTCAAAGGCTCGCGGCAAAGACATAGAGTGCCCAAGGATCTGTTGAAGCTGTTCATCTCTCGACCTTCGTCTTTGTGTGGACTATAACGCGCGGGTACCTCGCAAAAAGCAACATTTGGTCACCACTTTGGGGTATCATCATGCTGGACCTTTATGGAAGGGGACCATTTGTATGTATATGTAATATATATATATATATGTGTACGTGGTATGATGGCATTATGTTTTGAAGCTGCTTTGGTTTATGGTTGCGTATGTTTTGTTATCTTTTGGATCTGAACTTAGGAGTAGTTCAAACTGGTGCTGGCAACCAAAACCGAGAGCCAAGAACCGAGATTCCCCAGAATCTTTTCCAGCAATTTAGGTTCTGGGTATTTGTTAGAGCAACTAGTTCAAATACCTCCTTCATCTATGGCTGCAAATACACTAATCTTTGCTAAAGGTAGGCCAATACCTGAAATCTGTCTTGAGAATACATCCGAAGTGAGTCAAAAAGTAGTTGCTAAGCTACTGAGATCAGACTTTCTAAATCAGAGGAATAATCTAATAGGTTTTCCCTATATTTAGAATCTAGAGGTTTGCTGGATGCAAAGGTGAGACACCGCAATTATGACAACAAATGTTGCAGGAGCCATTGATGGAAGTTACCAAATTGGATGTGTCTGGTAGAGCAACAACAGCACATAAACAAGCAAGACATGCACAAAGAGTCCGTTTGATCCAAGGCGTTGGCCAGCAATATCAAAAGCGGGCGCTTCCTGTATGAGCTAAGGCTAAGGTCACTACATGCCGAGTTTATTCTGTATTCACGTCGCTTCGCGACGGTAACCGCCCGCACCGCATGGGAGGGCTCAAAGACTGCAGTCATGCTCCAGGAACGGGTCAAGGTAGGTACTTCCATTGAACATAGCCCCAGAAGTCACCCCCCCCCAACGTGGCCGAACATAGCTTCCATATTGCCTAACATAGCGCTAGAATGTGGGAACGTCGCAAATTGGTGTATCTTTTCCGCAGGTAGCTCGAGACGTTCGCCGGATACTTGGCTCAACAGGAGCAGAGATAAGGAACGGTAACATTTTCTAACGAGGGCTCAAAAGGGACTGGAATAAAGTAAAGATATTGCCTAACATAGCTCTAAAAGTCACTATCTAAAGGACGTGTCTGCGAGATAGGGACGTGAACGTCGTAAACATAGCCCAACGAGGGCTCAAAAGGGACTGGAACAAAGACCCCCCCTAACGTGACCAAACATTGCTTTTTCCAGGAACGGTAAGATTTTCTCACGAGCATAGCTTGCATATGGTCGAACATAGCCCCAGAAGTCACTATCTCAAGCATGCTTCCTCGAGATAGGGACTTGAACGAGGGCTCAAAATGGACTGGAATAAATTCAAGATTGCCTAACATAGCCCTAGAAGTCACTATGGTCACGGAACAGGTGCCGTTGGTAGAGTTCGTTGGAGCCAGAGTGCTTTTTCAAGTAATCGTGGTGTGGGGTTAAAAGACTGCAGCCATTTTGCGGGTCGGGTAAGTGGTTAGAGAGCTTCCGGAAGTGACGCGATCTGGAACGGGTACTTGTGCTCTTGGAGCCACGGGAGTCAGTATGAAAGGAATATAGCAGATTATAACATGTTCGGACACATGCAATGGAAACAGCGTTGGATAGTGTAAGGTTGATCTTGGTAGAAGCTGGATACGAAACAGGTGTAGGTTGTAGAGTTCGTTTTAGTCACAGTGCTTCTTCAAGCCATCTTGTGCTCAAAGACTGCAGCCATGTTGGAATGGGTCTCATCAGGGCAGGGGATGACGCTGCAGATCGGGTTAATGTTCTGTATTCGGTAGTCAGAGTGCCTTTTCAAGCAATCGTGGCTGTTGAAGGGCCGCCACCACTGCCGGACGTATCACGATCGGGAATGGGTTCTTGTGCTCTTGGAGCCAAGGAATGCAGTATGAAACGAACATGGCAGACGATATCATGTTAGAATACATGCAATGGAAACAGCGTGGGATGGTTGATCATGGCAGGGTTCGTTTTAGTCACAGTGCCTTTTCAAACAATCTTGGGCCCAAAGACTGCAGCCATTTTGGTATGGGTCTCTTTGAAACGTTCGTGTAGTCAGCGTGCTTTTTCAAGCAATCGTGGCTGCTGAAGGGCCGCCGCCACTGCCGGATGTATCACGATCGGGAGTTCGTTTTAGTCACAGTGCTTTTTCAAACAGTCTCGGGCATGGGTCTCATCAAGGCAGGGGATGACGTTGCAGATCGGGTCAATGGTCTGTAGGCGGTAGGGTGACGCAGGAAGTGGTGCTTATTTTGAAACGCAGAGATTTTTTTCGGTTGGATACGTGAAACATTGCACGAAATCGGGGGACCTGTGGGCAGCTGCGTCTTTGTGATGCAGGTGTGGAATGGACCGAAGCAAGGCAGTCTAGGAGCGAAGATGTTTTGCTTTTCATTGTTGCAGGCAGTAACTTGTGCAGTAGTGATGTTTGGAAGCAGTCGAGGTGGGTTTTGCAGAATGCGAGTAGTGTGGAAGCAGAAGACCAGCGATATCGACGCAGCGAGTGATGCAGTTGGGCTCAACAGCTGAGGTAGAGGGTAAGGCAAAGAGAAAAAGAGACATTCATTGTAGCGGAACAGCATCATGCATGTACCAGAGGGAAAGACAAACACAAGTAGCACTTTTTTTGAGTGAGTGCCGACGAAGGAACTTGTGCTCTTGGAGCCGAGTGGTTGTGTATTTGCTGACGAAGGAACTCGTGCTCTTGGAGCCGAGTGGTTGTGTTTTTGTAGCGAGAAGTCATGGTGACATTGGTGGCGTACAATCACCGGGTAGGCAGTGCGGCTGTGCAGAATCTGTTTCCTGGCTTTGCTTTTTCAGAGCTTCGGACTATCTACGTGAGATTACGTGAGGGACCACTAGAGCGGCAAGATGTCGCTATGTCCGTTCGGGTCTGTAGGGTAGATCGCTTTATCGAAACGGCCCGTGAACCACGGCTCGTGAGTGACGGCTACGTTGCTGCAGTGTGTCTGGGTTGAAGTTGCTCTTCCGGAAGATGGGCAGGAATGCGCTAGCTTGATTGGGCGGCGCGATCAGTTGTTGGCGAAGATAAAGGAAGCAGGGCAGTTCGCTGCAGAGAATCGTGTTCCGGGGATCACTCGGCAGCATGTTCGGAGGCTGGAGGCTGCTGCCACCTATCTTCGTGAGATGAGGGGGTTGGAGCCTGGTCTTTGACTTTGACAGAAAACCCAGTGTCTAGAGTGTCCATAGCAGAATTTTTGGGCACGCAGGAGGCGCCAGCGGAAAGAGCGAACTGGATCACCAGTGTGCCTCGGGTGCAGACCGGCTGGATTCCTATGGGCGGCACGCGTGCTTCACCTCGAAACATGGCGACACTCCTTCTGGGGCAGTTGCAGAGAAAGCTGCAGCAAACTGTCCGGGAGTCCGAAGATGTTGGGGG